TACTCTCTCTCTCTCTCTCTCTCTCTCTCTCTCTCTCTCTCTCTCTCACACACACACACACACACACACACACACACACACACACAAACAATCCTGATCCCGAAATGGCGAGCACCCATTCTTCGATATGACTTGGTATGTTTCTAAGTTGTCAAGTGAAGCCATGAACGCTGCTGTTTATGAGTCTGAACCGACCCATGGCCTGCTGTTGTGTAACAGCATCTGGGGTCTCTAAGAACTACGGCGATGAATCCTCCTCCATCATACTCTAGCTAACGTTGTATCTCCGTCAGCAACTTTTCTGGACTAGATTGCATAAGTGACTGTGAGCTTGTTAGGCACCTTTGCCATTACTTGATATATTTGGGTATATACCTGTGGTAGCAGCACACTCGAGCAACATATTACGAGGCCAAAGCACTACTTCATTTGATTCAGCCACAGTGATTTGCCTGCCAAGGCTTGACTTCAACCACTCCACACAATTGATGGCTTATGGTGAAGGCCAATGTCTCATTCCGCGAGCTAAGAAGTCTCAATTGAGATTTCTTCCCATTCTTTTTAATCTTACTAGAATTTTGTTTTGCTTCTCTCTCTATAGATGCCTTTCTCTGTGTAGCTTATTGCTCTCTCCCCCCCCCCCTCCCCTCTCTCTCTCTATTACTCTCTAGCATGTTGTTTTCACTTCTCTCTACAGTTTGCAGTTATGCCTCTCTTCCTCTCGCACATTAAGCCTTCCAAATTGGCTTGGATGATGATGATTGTGCCATGGGCCAAACCACTGAAATATCCCTATTCAAAATTCCAAACCCAGAACAAGGGCATTTTGGCCATTTTTAACTGAATATTTCAGATGGTTTGTCCACTTTGACAAACCACACCCTTGTCGGACATATTGGCATCCATATTGACCCGGAATCTTTTGGTTTCTTCTTGTTCACTGATCATTCTACATCATTGCCATTGACTTGATCTCCCTTTTTATTTGAGTACACATACGTACTTTAAAATCTTTTGGTTTCTTCTTGTTCACTGATCATTCTACATCATTGCCATTGACTTGATCTCCCTTTTTATTTGAGTACACATACGTACTTTAAAAATCTGTATGGGTTCAAGCAACTAAGATCTAATTGATTGTTTTGGTTACTCATCATGAAATAAAGATGTGTAAACAATGTTAGATTTCGTTCTCTTTATAATATATAGCCATGTTGCTCACCCTGTTTTTCATGGCATGAAAAATTTGACACCCTGTACCTGTGTCTAACACTGACACAGCTATCCAAATTCCATGCAATATAGATCTTGGGGATTCTTTAAAAATAGGCAGAGTGAACAGGTCTGCAATTTTGTAAAGCGAAAATGATCCACAAAGCGAGTCGCAAGAAACACACACTAATATTTTTTGGGAGAAAGCCAACTAGATGAGCCATGAAATGAGGAAGAAAAAGAAGACATCAAACTCCAAGAAGAAACAGAAACACTGACAAACAAATCCACCTGAAAAACACAAGAACCAAAGGAAAGCTTGAGCAAAACCAAAGAAAAGAGTCAAGATTGGATTGCTTTGGACAATCAAAAGACGACAAATAAACAGCTGCCGGATGTGAATATCCCGACCAACGCCAAAGCTGTTTTCCCACTACCAAAAGAGACAAAAGTCCCAAACACAGATCCATTGACTCCATTGGCAGATAACCAAAATTCAGATCCATCTATTTGCCAACCCAAAAATTCATTCAAAAGCCTCTCTCACAAGATACCCAAAATACAGCCTAGATTCTGCCCACCTCATGAAAGTTTCAAATGATGCGGACCACATGCCCACTTTAAATTCACTTACACAGGATGAATTCGCAACATTATGCTATCCCTCCCTGGAATAGGAAGACGAAGCAGCGCAACATTGTGCTATCCCTCCCTGGAATAGAAAGACGAAGCAGCGCAACATTGTGCTATCCCTCCCTGGAATAGGAAGACGAAGCAGCGCAACATTGTGCTATCCCTCCCTGGAATAGGAAGCTCTTAGAACCAGAACGGTGTGCTTCCCAACTATAAACCATGAAAACTTTAGAACGACAGCAGGATGCTACACCACCAAATAGTATGATAAAAGAGATTTTGGAGAAACCAAAAAAGGTGAGACAACTGAAAGAAGCCCTCAAATCACTTCTCCTCAATCAAATCACTAAAACTCAAAAAGGAAAACTGGATTTACCATGTACATAACAGATTATACAAAAAAAATAGTATTTTTCTAACATAACACATCCATTATACCCCCATTAGAACTACTGCCATGGGCCTCATTGTAAACTTTATTTATAAAAGAATTGCAACTCAGGCTTCCAAGCCAGAAAAGAAGGTTATTCTTTCACTTTGCATTTTTATCTGAACGTTAGATTTCTAGACAAGCCACTTTGCATGTGCCCAGAGACTTTGACTGCTCGGAATCATCAGAAAGAAAATAATTTTTCTTACAGCCAAAATAATGTGGTCTTCGTGCATAGATAACAACACAATAAAGAGGAAACAAGTTAAAATCAAGGAGGGAGGACTGAGCAGGGAGAACACAAGCAGGCTGAATGGTTATAGATTCTTGGTGAAACTGTTCCGAGGTATCTTGGGGGATGCATTTACTGAAGAGGGGGTGTCTCACTGGCTGACGGTCTCATTTCCAATGTGACACTTCCTGAAGGAGGATATCTATGTGTCATGTAGTTTGGAATACAAGAAACAAGAATAACTTCAAAAGCACCTTACATCCCTTAAAACGCACAAGCATGCATCTAGAATTTGTATTTTATGTAAGCCTTAGCCTCAAAGAGTTCTTGGGCTTCAAAACCAATGGCCTGGTTCATGACTGCAAGCCAAAAGTCCCATATGAAATATCATCACTCCAATTTTGTTGCCATCCGATTTCAATCATAGCTTCAGCAATATACATAACTGCTCTCCCTTACACTATCTCGACTATGCATACCTTCAATACAATATTTGGCTACTCAAGAATTGGACTTGCCCAAGTGACCTACCAGAGAAGAAACCGCCCCAAACTCGGGGTTATATAACTCTAATAAAAATTACTATGTTTCTTTGATTAATAAATTATAATTTACTTATATTTGATTTGTTTATATTTTATGGCTTTTTATAATGTAATATTTTTCTAATAATTTCTCTTTTTCCGAAAGAATGATTTTTTTATCCATTTTCCTTTATTTATTTATTTTGGAAAACTTTTTTCTCAACTTTTATATGCTTCTTCTGTAGTTTTCCATTTTATCGAACTTTTTATAATTTTTTCTCTTTTTATGGGTTTTCTCGGTCATTAGGGTGCTCAGTACAGACACAGACTCATCTGAGAAACTCAGCCAGGCCAGGGGTGAAGTTCGCAGCCAACTGTAGTTTGAAAATGCAGGTTGAATACTCAGGTCCCCACTTCCTCAGCATAGCATCCATTATCTACGGACACAAATATTTTTCTGTACATTTTTTTTAATGATTTTAAGCTTTTCATACATCATTCCTTTTTTTGATATATTTAAAATAATTTCGTCAAATAAGTGTTTGTCATGCCAAGTCAACTACGTGGCCAAGCAAAAAAAAAAAATCCACACTTCTGAAACTTGAGCTCATTTATAGACATACATGGTATGAAAGGAATTTGATGGCAGTCATAAACATAGATTTGATGCGATAGAGTCCTTTGCAACATATTAAATGGCTCTAAGAAAAAATACACTCATGAGTCAAAGTTCATAAAATCGAGACAAAAAGAAATTCACATCATGCATCAATAGAACTTGATTGTGACAGTGTCGAACATGACCCTACACATCACATCCTAAATGCTTTGCATAAACTTATGCCATAAACCATTTCAGTGCCAATATATCTATATCCATGTTTATACTTTCCACATAGTGCAACTCTGCTGTGAATAGCTAAAATTATCAGTTCCAAACGAACCTGTTTCTTCAGATGTCAATTTATATGACATTCATTTCATGCTCAACCGAAATTGTGCTGTGGAACAAGCATATCCATGTTCATGAGGAAGAAGAACACCCATATATAATTTATTATTACAGATGCAAAAGAAAAAACACAAAAAAAGACTTCTTCTAGAGCTACAGAACCAACATCCTAATGTGACTATACTTGGAACTGATATCCAGTTTGAACTCCTCAAATTCCAAATTGATAGATAAATTAGATAGCAAATTAAAAACAAAGATAACAAATAGAAAATGCACACCTCAAGCACTCAAAGAAAATCCTGGCCGCATCCAGAAATTGCCCAAAAGCAGTACAAGAAAATCCCATGTAACTATAAGTTCAAATTACAAGCCTAAATCTCAAAGCCCCATTTGTCATATTCCGGACTTACTGAAAATCCCAAGATTCAAACAGCGATGGAGACACAACAACTGCAACAAGAGACAGAAATCCAAAACAATACAGATTGAGAGAGATG